AATACTATGTCGTTTGTATCCGAAGCTTGATAAAATATAAAAAAAAATATTGGTACTGGCTGAATTAACTGAGAAAAGCTAGACTACTAGCTAGCTAGACTACGTCGACTGACGCCGTCCTGCGCGACATCGTCGCGATGCACACGCTCATGAATAAGAGTCCCGTTGTGACTTGAAACTAGTTGAGGTTTTCTCAATTGATAAACGTGAGTAAGCCGTAAGTTTTCTGTTTCTGTTCTTAATACATTTTGTACGTCTTTATGTACTTTACTTAAAATGGCATAAATCACTAAATGACAGAAGTATTCTAGAAATTAACCATTACATTACCGAGAATTTGACATGCCCAAACTGCTTAATGTCTTCAAGTAGTTTATAATAAAATGGTAATGGTAAAAGGTGTACAGATATTCTGATCTCTGACACTACATAATACATATATCCGGGTACCTATTTACATTATTTTAATATTCACATAGCATTCATCAATTCGAAAATCACCTGCCATTTACCAGCAAAGGCATTAAAATCTGGTTTAAAACATATTTTGGTTTGGAATATCAATATTAACTACTAATGTCCGAGTAATTAGCGATTTGGAGTAAGTATAGCTAATAGGAATGACCACTAAACGGTGCTTCCTATTACGACTGAAAATTGTTACTAACAAATACATAATTACCTATCGCGTAGTTTGCGTTGCGTAGTTTTAAAGATTAAGCATACCCGGGATAATGGGACAGAAAGCGACTTTATTTCATCTAAGAGATACTACCAGTAAATGCCTTTTTTTTTTGTTAACGTTGGGAAACCTTCAAAAGCCGCCCTACTTTTGGGGAAAAGGACTAGGGAGTGTGGGATTTATCCCTACTTAAACGTTCCCGGTGGCCACCATCAACACCTACAAATAAGGAACACCTGGACCTCTTAATAGAACCAACTCCCGAGACGTTTTGGTATCGGTAAATGCCTTTGTAGTGATTGTGTTATGTAAATCAAATGCATACTTCACTCCCTTCAGAACTCCCGTCATCTTATAACTGTGACTGTTACCACGCAACTGTTTTACTTGAGACAAAAAGACACAAGCTACCTTGGTTCTCTTCAATACACATCGATAAAGGTATTTTCCAAGTTTGTGCTATAAATGTTACGTTATCCGGGACATACCTATAGCATATATTAGGTACGTAAAATTAATGGCGAATTGTACTTTTATATCTTTTAACAATCAAAAGACAGCTATACAAGAAGGATTCAATTCGAAAAAGCTAAAACACTACTACGACGCCCTCGGCCTGAGAAAGAGAAGGAACGAGGTAGTTTTGAGTCAGCAAGAGTTTCACACTCGCTCTCGCACCCAGGATGGGAGAAGGTATTTGATGATTTCCACCCTCAAAAGAAGTACTTGAGTGGAAGTCAGGAACCTAAACTAGGATAACCTATAAAATAGGCTGACCTAATAATTATGAATTCTATAGTTACAACAATAAGCAAACATTTTGAATGGTACCTAATACATTGTTAACGGTACCTATATGACACCAAACAAAATTGAATTAACGAAACACTTAACTCGATTAAATATTTGATGCCTGCTTGCTTGGAATCGAATGAAGCAATCTATGTGAACATACGAATACAATCATTCAATATGTATCCAGTATGGTGACGGTGGCGGCTAGAGGCAGCGTCTGTAGGTACATTAGTTGACTTGTTAATTAATCAAAACCAAAACGTTTCCAAAGGGAATTGCGATCAAGGAGATTTTATAATACAAATTTGGTTAAGTTTACACGTTAATACGGAATTCCTTAGTTCATTCTCAAGAGCTGCATGATGATCCGGTTATCCGGCAGAACACTACCGAGACAACGTGTAACATTAAATGTTACTTATTTTCTGACGCTAATTGTAAAAATCAACTCTCGGAATACTGTTGAGAATAGAATCGAAATTGATTCACAGAAAATCTGAATTGAGAAAACACTTTCCACTTTTCCATGAATTTTAATCCCGAACTTAATTTGTCGTTCGTTATTCAGCAAAATTGTAGTCGTATTTATTTTGTTTTATTTTATTTTAATGTTTTTAGAAAGGAAAATATAAAACTTGTTATAAAAATATACAAAATATATTTATTTTAACAGCTAACAAAAAGAAGTTATACATCTCTTAATAAATTACATATTTTCGCATTATCTTACTACGCAAAAGAAAATAAGTAAGTAAGTAAAGAGGCATTTAGAAATCACGGTAAGAACTTATTGTTTAGGTATGTAGTCAAAGCTACTATTATTCTAAGCTATTATTATTCTATAATGTTAAGTTTTTCAGTACAAAATAGCAGAAAAACGCACTAAAATAATGAATCTTAACTTCCCTAATAAAATACTACGTAAAATATTATTTATTCGAAGTGAAAATGTTGTTACCAAGTGGAGTTTTGGCTTTTGTTACCGCAACGTTGAAAATTGACAATTATAAAGTTTTTTTACGATACAGTTCGTGTAAATAATATGGAGTTATGGACTTTATACTTATTTATAAACTGTAATCAATGAATTTTGTTTCGTATTTTCCAATTCCTGTTTATAACTGTTAAAACAACTCTTCGTATGATCCACAAAAATGGTTGTTCCGGGTCTGGGTGTGCTGTGTATGTGAAATTGTATGTTTGTGAACGCATCCGCGACACAGGAGAACATCAAAGTGTTTTTTTTTTGTGAGGGGAAAATCATCGAATGACTTCTCCCGCCCAGGGCCGGGCAGGAGGGAGTGTCAGACTCTTACTGACTAAAAACCCCCCTGTTCCTTCTCCTGCTCTGTGCCGAGGTCGCGGTGCCTCATTGCGCTTACCCCGCAACCCCGGCTGAACATCAGCCCTTTAGGGCCCCGTCTGTGGTGGTCTAATGGCTGGGGCAACGATTTTTTTAAAAAAACCTGCTGGACTTTTTATTTCTTATCTCGTGTTTTAGTCACCAGGAAAGTGTCTACATATACATAATAATGTATAACTAAAATTAGATCCAGGGCAAAGGTATTTTAGTCATTATTTATTACTATTATAAAGATACTTTTTGTTAGCAAATATTAATAGGTACAATTAACAAAATAACAATCAATGAATATTTCTCGACGTCGTTGGGTGGCATTTTCTAAAGATGCTACACTTAATTATAAAAATGAATATTATGAAAGCTGGAAAAAAGGATGTACATATTTTATTTTGAAACACGGCGCGCACAATCTTTTTTTTATTGTAATCTTGTTATTATTACTCTAATTATAACTATGAACAATTTATGCTTATTAAAACTTGAAAAAAATGGTAGAAGGGCGTGATAAATGAAACGTAGGTATCTATATCTCCGTGAGAGATGACATGTCAAAACTCAAGACTAGGATATCTTCAAAATTATTTTGAAAGACGTGTTCGGGAGACGAGGGGCGTCTTATATACACATATATAAATGTTTAAAGCACGCCTTGGTATTACACTAATTAAGCGTTCCTTTCTCAGAATGTTCATCTTCTTAATTTACATATGTAGATAATGAGTCTGTCTTAATAGTAGGTACTTTGTTTCAGCTCGAGTTCTTGTAAATGATCCCAGACGCCATGGAAAGTATGTTTTCTCACGAAATACTCACTATATTGTAAGATAACATGAAAATCATTTGTGATAAGCCTTAAAACAGAATTCGAAATTGATACAATATTTAAGCATCATATTTAGTCTTCTTTTTAACTTTTCAAAATGAGAGCATGTTTCAGGCGAATGATGATTGATTTGTAAATATTACTTTGGTTAAGAATTCGACGGATATTTTTGAAAACTGACGGAGTTTTTTTTATGTAATAGTTCGGCAAACGAGCAGACGGATTACCTGATGGTAAGCAATCAGCGCCGCCCATGGACACTCGCAACGGAGGAGTTACGAGTGCGTTACCGACCTTTAAGGGAATAGGGATTTGGAGATTTAGGGATTGAGGAGGAATTGGGGAAGGGAAAGGATTAGGACTCCGGTAACCTCACTCACACGGCGAAACACAACGCAGTGGTTATTTCAAGCCGGTCTTCTGTGAGGCCGTGCTATCACTCCGGTCGAGCCGACCCATTCGTGCCGAAGCATGGCTCTCCCACACTTAAGGAGTTTCCTTAGATGTGTGCTTCTTAGAGGAACAACTAGTCTTACCGTTATTTAATGTCGTAGGTAATACATATTCTGAAGAATGAAGGAATATGTTTCACATAATTATTTGTAACAAGCCTAGTAAGTAATTGCAGTAACATATTCTAAATATGGTTGTTGCGGCGAGGAGAAAAAAACGCTAGCCTGTGTTCAAAGAACGCAAAAGTTGCGTTACGAGGCAATTTAAATAAATATCTATTGGTGAAAACAAGTGAAGATCGCAATTATTTAGACAGACAGACGTGAGGGGGAACCTAATAATAATATGTTAAGATATTTTATTTGCTAGAGACACTAATGGGAGTTAACGGAAAAAGATGTTGGTAAAATGGATGGAGTTTTTTAAACTTTTTAATATTCATACAGTGAGTGGGTCTTACGTTCCGAGCGCATAGCAAATGTTATGTTTGCAGACACTCTATAGCTTTACTCTCTCATGTAAATTTAATATGAAAATGACTCATTTTTCTATGCTATTTTTAAAATTCAAGAATTTAAATTCGTACTAATGTAAATTACTAAACACATTATTCGAAACTTACAGTACTGTTGTGAAACTTTTTTTTGAGGGAAGAAAATCATCCATTGTTTTTTCTCGGCTAGGGTGGGGCGAGAGAGTGCCAGACTCTTTCTGACAAAAAAAACCCGTTCCTTCTCCTGCTTTAAGCTGAGGCCGCGGTCCCTCATTGCGCTTACTCCGCAACACCGGCTGAGTTACTTATAGTACTGTACTAATACTTTTTGAGGGGAAAATTCATCCATTCTCTTCTCTCGCCCAGGGTGACGAGAGAGGGAGTGTCAGTGTCAGTGTTTGACTGACTCAACACCATCTCGTTCGTTCTCCAGCTCCAGGCCAAGGCAGTGGGACCTTATTGCGTTTGACCCGAGACCCCAGTTGGTACATATTATTAAAACTCCATGCACCATGGGTACATAGGCGGACTTAATGCCGCAGGCATTTTCCACCAGTCGAGTCAGTACATTGTTACCTGAAATTACGTTTTTTCATGCTTTTTTAATGCCACACAGTATAAAGATAGCCATAAAAAACGCACTTTTGAAAAAATAAAAGTCCCTCAATTAATTTCTATCGTAAAACGTTGTAGGTTCCATGTAATACAAAGTCGGTTATTAATTTATTCAGTCCCTGCTCAAGGGCCTGCCTTAAATTATTACGGAAGTATTTTTTGTATTACAAAATTTGTTTTTGTTTAAAGTCCTACTTTTTTACTTTTTAATATGTTTTAACTTCTTGCACCTGATATTACGCCGCGTGGGAGTAGGGGTTGGGTTATACGAAACGCTACGAATTTGTTCGATTCACGCCAGTTTCCTGTCGGTCCGTGATATCACACCGATTGAATTGCCTAAATACAGAACTTGAGCTCACTCACTTCGTTTAAAATTGTCCAAATCGTAGGTAATTAATGTCAGTAACTCACAATATTTTGGCCTCCCAATTGTAAAAGTAGGTAATTAACAATATATCTTATTATACAGTTGAAAAAATTACATAGAAATTAATGAATGAACCGGGTTCTGCACCCCGAGGAATACTTATAATGGCTGGGAAGCTGTGGATCAATAAACGAGGAACAAAGGATCTCTTAATAAATTGTTCGCTAAAATATAAACCGTCTTTGGGGCTTCGCCGTAATCGGGAGTAGGGGCAAAGTAACATTTCAAACAACAGTGAAATCTATACTAATATTATAAACAGGTAAAATTTGTTAGTTTGTATGTAGGGGGTAATCTTTGGAACCGCTGATCGGGTTGGCAAAATTCTTTTACTGATAGATAGCTACAATGTTCCTGATTGCTATAGGCTAAAAACAAAACGCTACGATTAAATGAAGCCGAGCAGCGGGTGAAACCGCGCGATAGTAGTTATGGTGAATAAAAAGATGATTAAATGTAGGTTTGAGAATCGCATCAGATCAGCATCGTTAGAACTCTTCACTTCTTTGTGTGAGAACAGGTCTTATCCTCACTACTGGGATATTTCAGATAGGACCCAACAGCGCCGATGTTCGCGATGTTTACGGAGAAAACGCAATAAGGTACCAAACCTCGGCCTAGCGCAGGAGAAGGAACAGGGGGAGGCGGGAGCTTTAAGTCAACAAGAGTTTAGACTCTTTAGGGCCAATGTAACTTGGCCAAAAATGGTCAAGTGTTAGCACTTGACCATTTTTGTTACATTGGCACAGGCCAAACCTTCAACGTAAGAAGGATAAACAAAACGACTTATTCAAAACCAAAATGATTTGTTTAAAAATATTTTATTATAATCCTAATTATCCAATGACTTTTGCCAATCCTGTCATAAGACATTTATTATGTTGCCATTCAATAAAGTAAGAATAATGAAACAAAATGTTTATTGAGCAATGAAAAAACAAAAAAATGTCTCAATTAATTTGCTACCAATTTGTACCTATAAAAATATCTAAGTCCTTTTGTCCTGAAATTATTAATTTACTACGAACTCTCACGTATATAAAATATTGAATAAAAGGGATTCCACAGAAATTTAATTTTGTTTTCATTTGTTACTAAGAGAGATATAATAAGGTTTATTTTTAAGAAATGTTTTGTTAGATGAATTTTGAGTTCAAAGTAAGTATAATTAGAGATTAATTTTTAATGTTGATTTTCATCTCAGTTCATTCTTATTATTTTACATGCTTTTGTGAAACAAATAAATTGTAATTACTTACAAAGTGAGTTGTAAACGTACTATCTCCATCTCCTTCATCTTTTATTATTGGTTCTTGTTTTACTGTTGATAGCAATGTCAATGACATCTAAGTATTATACTGAGCCTGACTATACTAAGCACTGACTTGGAGGTTTGTCCGAAAAAATACAAAGGAGATGGTGTGTACGCTTGTCTGTATCTATTTACTATATATTATTATTATAAAGCTGAAGAGTTTGTTTATTTGAACGCGCTAATCTCAGAAACTATTTGTTCGAATTGAAAAATTCTTTGCGTGTATAATAGACCATTCATTGAGGAAGGCTTTAGGCTATAAAACATCACGCTACGGGTGAAACCGTGCGAGATTGGCTAGTTTGCAATAAAAGATCCGCGTAGTTTTTACATGTATTGTATTAATATTTCAGATACGACGTTCCTGCCTGCTTACCTTTTCACTGTTCCTTGGTATAACACTGCTAACTATGTATAATTGTAGATAATATAATAATAAGACTGTATAGTATGACTGCGTTAAGCGTTAATTATAGAGGTGCGTTGTTAGTCATAATTCATAAATATTTAAATGCTGGGCCAAGCCGGGCTTAGTTCTGACTTGCCCACGTTTAATAAGCTGGCTTACGTGTTTCTACTCCGAACAGTTTCAATATGTATAAACCTCTTTGTATGGTATTATTTGTTTTTAATTCATTTATAGTTTGCATTCGTTGTGGTCTATGATTATGTAATGTTTTAGTTGAATTTTAGTCGGTTAGTAATGGCTGGCGTGCTTTTAATTGCGTGTTCCATTTTTAAATGTCGTAGCGTGATGGAATAATAATAGACTTTTTTAACAGATACCTCGTTGAAAAGGAAGTAATTTGATTACATAATAGGTACCTACAAATTGTTATTCCTAAAGTATTACGTTACAGGGAACAAAATTGTCTATGTGAGCGGGATAAAATACAGATAATTGGGTAGTTTCCTAGGTCAAAAATAAATTAATTCGACGTTTCTATATAATAAAATATTGGAAAATAACTATGAATACTTTTATTCATCGATCGATCGAAACATGTTTGAAAAATAAGTACCTACGCTATTTGACGCATAAATTCTGTGACGTCATAACAAATTACATAGAAAAGTATCAATGGATAAAAGTATTGAATTTGACTAGTTGGAAACTACCGTATTATACTATATGTCCCTAAAAACAAACAATTATAGTAGAAAAGACTAAAAAGTATCAAAAAGCATCAAAATTTGCGAATGATGTTACAGATGATACGTGTCGATGTTAAAACTAATTATTACTCATTAGTATTATTGTAGGTACTCTCTATTTTCAAGTGTCGTGGTGGAGATTAAGGCGCACTCATGCATGAGGGTGTGGGTCTAAACCTAGGGATGTACCGATGTGACTTTTTCCGAGTTATATGTACTTTCTATGATTATTTAGACACCACTGACATACGGTGAATGTAAACGTCGTGAGGAAACCTGGACTTATAATTTCCAATTATAAGTTTGAGCAAGCGTGGTGATTAATGCTCTAACCTTCTCCGTATGAGAAGAGGCCTTTGCTCAGCAGTAGGCATTTATAGGCTGATGATGATGATGAATTGCTAATCCCAATGTTTTTTGGTACATAACTTACACTTATTAAATGTGGGAGTGTCATGCTTCAGCTCGATCGAACCAGGTTTTTTTAATGTACCTAATTGATCGGCAAACGAGCAGACGGATTACCTGATGGTAAGCAATCAGCGCCGCCCATGGACACCCGCAACGGAGGAGTTACGAGTGCGTTGCCAGCCTTTTAGAGATTAGGGATTTGGAAATTTAGGGATTGAGGAGAGATTGGGGGAGGGGAAGGATTGGGCCTCCGGTAACCCCACACACACAGCGAAACACAACGCTGTGGTTGTTTCACGTCGGTTTTCTGTGAGGCCTTGGTATCACTCCGGCCTAGCTGACCCATTCGTGCCGAAGCATGGCTCTCCCACACTTGTCGTCGTACTTGGTCTACCGGAGAGATATACCTACTTGGACCTTGGACTTTACAGGAGCGCCAACACTACCTATCATCTTTTCCTCAATGCTCAAATAATAAATTCTTAAGTGCCTGACCTCCAACAAACAGGCAACGCACTTTTAACTTCAGTAGTGAAGCGGCCATCTGTGGACGGCGCCGATTGCTTACCATTAGCCATCAAGAGACATGTAAGTATAGCACAATAGAAATAGCTTAAGTTGAGTTGAGATTTTTTTTTGTTTTTTAAACTATTTACGGAGAAAAAGGTTTAGACTATAATTTCATACTCTAAAAGGCATTTTGTAATTAATTTTCGTTTTGTGCTGTGAAATATCAACTGTATTTTTTTAAACAATCATTCATTTTTACATACACGTCACACCCAGATCAACACTCAAAAACAACAATTTTTGTATCACACAAAGAATCGAACACGCGACACGTTGCGTAGCAGCCGGGTGCTAAACCGCCGTGCACATTTGTTTGATATGTCTATCACTGTCTCTTAGTTTTGTGTGTGTCTGAGGATCTAATATTTAGTTTAGTTTATTTAACATATCTTATATATGTAGTACAGATACACATCACACGTCAAAGCCAGAATAAAAATATTCAGACCACACAAAGATTAAAAAATACCCGATACATACAAAGGAAAATGTGATATTAACCTATGTTGCTCGTTAGTAGCTTCTCAGAGTGTTGCCATTGAAAAAAGATCACTTTAATTTCCTCCCGGTCTATCAGATGTTTGTAGAAAACCTCATTAACTATCTAACGTCCTACCTGGCACTGACATCGTGATCAAAGCTCAATATTTCATTAGTTCCTTATAGAAAATCTTTTGTAATATTATTTATGTACTTGTTTGCAATTTCCGTCACCTTTGAGAGATGCAATATAATATTAAGATGATAAAGGGAAGTGCTGCTGCACGAACTAGACGATCTCCGGCTACCGTAAGCGCGGGTCTGCGCTCGGCGAGTAAGGGCAGCTCACCGCCCGACCAGAACCAAGCCCGAGCGTACGGCGCGTAGAGTTCCGCGCGCACCTCAAAGAGCCAATAGACCACAGACGGGGCCCTATAGAGCTGATGTTCAACCGGGGTTGCGGCGTAAGCGCAATGAGGCACCGCGACCTCGGCCCAGAGCAGGAGAAGGAACAGGGGATTTTTAGTCAGTAAGAGTCTGACACTCCCTCCCTCCCGGCCCTGGGAGAGAGCCTGTTACTTACATACATAATAACATGGCATAACAACACATTCCTATGGGCTATCAGTTTAGGTACTTCACGAAATTTAAACAATCTTCGCATGTCTTTTTATTCAAAACTTGTCTAAAATATATTGTATGTAAAAATGTTTACAATGAGAAACTGTATTAACTATTTACCTCAATCTATAAAACTAAATTTGAATATAGGTATTAGATACGACCTCTTTAATATAAAAATACCAGGGTTTTTTATACTTTATTGGACACGTACACAATAGGATAGTTTAAAAGAATGTTGTGATTACAATGGGCGGTCTTATCACACGATTTCTTCTAGAAAATCTTTAGATAGAAATGTCAAAAGGAAACTTGGCCAGGGGCAGTGAAGTGAACAATTAATTCAAATCTATAATAATATTATAAAGAGGTAAAATTTGTAAATCTGTATGTTTCTAAGTTTGTATGTAGGGGGTAATCTTTGGAATCACTAGTCGGATTCTCAAAATTCTTTCACTTGTTGATAGCTACTACAATGGTCTCGAGTGCTATAGGCTATAAAACATCACGCTACAATCAAATGGAGCCGAGCAGCGAGTGAAACCGCGCGGGAGTAGCTAGTACCTATTACATAAAGAAAATAAATTTATCATTTAAGGGCTGATTTTTCAATAGTCATATAAATGTTATCTGAGAAATAAAATTGTTGCTGTCATTGTCTTATACAAACATTCCGATTCGAAAACATCATAATTATTCCTTAGATAACTTTTATTTATTTATTTATTTAACACTTTATGTACATATAAAAAAAATACATACAAAGGCGGACTTAATGCCCGAAGGCATTCTCTACCAGTCAACCTCACGGGTGATGCAGAGAAGTGTTAACAATAGGTTCTAAACAAGCACACAAATGATTAAAAAGCATAGGCATATAAGGCAACATATACATATAATACAAAAATATAATATATGAATACAATAAGTATAACCTACAAATACATATATAACATATAAATAATACATAAATAATATAATTAAATATGGGGAGAATAGATTACGAATACATATACAAGAACAAAAACAATAATACACTAATTAGTGGAATCTGTCAGTTTCTCTAGCAAATAATTGTGAACTTTAAATTTGAAAGATAGCCGACTGGTTGCCGTCCTGATAACTTTTATATAACCATTGAAAAATCAGCCCTAAATTAAATAGGAAATCGGTAAGGTTGTTCACCTTTAGTTAAACATCTAAACAAATAGACTATAGCTACTATGTGATGCAATCATTGCGAATTATTTATCCTAAGACCTGAAACTTCGTATTTTGTAGCCACCCCTGCCACCACCCGTTAATTAAGTTTTGTAATAGAATCCCAGGCCTTTGTTGAATATTCCCGTTTTCTGGTAATGACTGGAATTGCTTTCCAAGCCATTATGTAGCCATTTTAGTTGTAAGACATTCGGTTTTAATGTTGTAGGCGTATTCGTAATGTACGTAGATTTTCTGATCATGAATCTGTCGCAAAAGGTAGTAAGTAAAGGATTAAGGATGTAGGGGGGTTGAGAATGGGGCCTCCAGTAAGTTCACTCACACGAGACACTACTTAAGTTTTGCTTCACGGTGCGGTATTAGGAAATACTGTTACCCTCCACTGAATCCCTTTAACTCAATACTCAATACTTTATTGCTTTCCACATTTGTATTCTTAGGTGGTAGTACTTATAAATAGTTCACATGGATCCTGTCGGGCACAGCAAAGTAAGTGGGATAGGAGAGAGGAAGCTCTTATCGGTTATGTTACTTATTTTTGTTGACTAAGACTAAGGTTATATAGGCAAGTAAGTTATATATATTTATGTTTAAAAGTTTTTTTTATTATTTATTGAAACACTTAATCTACACTGAAAGTGTGTGTGTGTGTGTATGTGTGTGTGTGTGTGTGTGTGTATTGCGTGTGACTGTTTATGTCTATATATTTTTATCATTTAGGTATTCGTTAATGGAATAGTAGCATTTATTTATAAGAAATTGTCTAAGTTTTTTTAAAAATATATTAATTTTATCTTCTCTTTTTATTTGTGCGGGTAGTTTATTGTACAATTTAATAGACATAACGTAGGGACTTGTCGAGTGCATTTTTAAACTAGACTTAGGTATATTTAGTTTAGCGCGGGGTCTGAGTTCATAGCGTGATTTGTTGTCGTCTCGTTGAGTGTACAGCTCTTGGTGTTTACGGACAAATTTGCATGATTCTAGTATGTATATAAAGGGGAGAGTTAAGATGTTGTGTTTTAGGAAGAATGGCTTGCAACTGTCTGTTTGCTCTATGTTTACGAGGAGTCTTATCAGTTTCTTTTGCAGAGTGAAGATTGTTATTGCATCTGTACTGTTGCCCCAGAGGGTGACACCATAGCTAAGCCACGCATATGCGTAAGCATAGTAGGTGGTTAGTGCTGTTTCGAAGCTAGTGGTCTTTTTTATTTCACGGTGAGCGTACGAGAGTTTTGAAATTTTTAAGTGGGGTTTTTGTATGTGTGGTTTATTCTCTTTCTTTACAGTTTATGTAGGTTACTGTTACTACTTACTGCTTAATTCAAATTTTTCTTTAGTAGTATTAATGTGAATTATGAACTACATTTATTTCCAAGTCTATACTATTTTGTGTGTACGTTGGTATATGCAAGTATGCTCTGCCATGCCACACCACGCTTCCTGCTGGCACAAAACAATTTTTACTCACATTCAAAACTACAGACACAAATAAATGTATAAAAAACATACTTTTTTGTTATTCTGCTAGCTTCCCACTATGTTTATTAAGGTATACTTTGTTTCTGCTATGGTACATATATATATATATATATATATATATATATATATATATATATATATATATATAGTCATGTATACGCGTATGTTTTGAGTACGCTACCGTCTTAAATAAATGTCAAAGGCGTTTCTATGTTTTTCTTGCCCGACCCTTACCGACATTGCCATTACTTAATATTCGTTTGATATTCTTTTTGGTAATTCCACTTCGTTTCATTCTGATTATATGATGTAAATATTTTATGATCATCATCATCATCAGCCTATAAATGCACACTGCTGAGCAAAGGCCTCTTCTCAAACGGAGAAGGTTTGAGCAATTATCACAACGCTTGCTCAAAGGGAATTGGCGATTTCAAACTTATAATTTGAAAGTCCTGGTGTCCTTACGATGTTTTCCTTCACTGTATTTCAGTGGCGTCTAAATAATAACAGAAAGAACACATAAAGTCATTTAAGCACTTGCTAGGTTCGAACTCGCACCCTCATGCATGAGAAGCGGGTGCCCTAAGTATTATAGCTTACCTTTTTAGTTCTTCTCAGTCACTGAATTATGTTCAATACATACATACAATGTAATGGTGGATACTTTAAAACTGTGAGTGAGGTTTCGGAGGATTGGGCGTCCGGTAACCTCACTTACACGTTGAAACACAAGTATTGTGTCACGCGAGTATTCTGTGAGGTCGTGATAGGACTCCGGACCAGCCGGCCCTATCAACTCCTACACTTGAAATGTGAACAAACGGTTCAACGATTTGCTGAATACTTTCGCCCAGGTGAGATGTGTGCGGTGATAGAGCCAGCTGGCAGAAGGGTGCAATGTGGATGACGAGAATCGTCAGGGGCTGATTCTGTTTCGTCGTGAATTTTCTGACTAATTATAATGTGCGTGTAAAAATGATAGCTATTATTTCTTTAAAAACATTGTGTGTTGTATTATTTTAAATAGCCTTGGCCTAATAAGCTAATATAAAATTAGCAACAATTTAGCTGAATTCTTAAATACTAATGTTTGTTGAAATTTATTTTTATTGTTCTATCGCCATTAGGTAAATTGATGCTATCACATCGATGTGCGGACAATATTAGCAGCACTCGATTATGCATTAATTACATTCTGTATCTTATTTGTTTAGCGTTAAAATCTTTTTCTATTTCGAATTCTGCTTTAGGTTACCGATAATAATACTATACGGGTGTTTTCGAGGCAATCAAGCAAGCAGCAAATGTTTATGTGGGATTTTTAAAATGATATACAATGCCTTACTTTATACACACGATTATATGGTAGATAATATATTAAAAAATATGACGCTTAAGACTTTTTGGAGTAAAATGATCACTGTACTCCAGTCATGCCTTTAAGGCAACAGGTTTGTGTAGGTTGGTACACAAACAAAAATATACCTTTTAGCAAAATATATTTTCCTTATACCTTTTGTGTTTCAAATGTAAACAATGACCTCTACCGTGTATTACTTATACATAAGTTCATAAAGGCCCTTTGACGGAGGACGGACGGCCGTAAGCGTAAAATGTTCGTCATAAAACACGAGTCTCTGAGATGAGGAGATGAGGAGGATATGTATGTACAAACACATAATTTATATTCTTTATTATATACAAAAATGAAATTTTCTTCGTTTGTCTCGTTAAAAATCTAAAACAGCTGGAATGACTTATAATCAGAATTTTTAATCGATTCCTGATTTGACCTGACCTACTGTCATTTTGTGAAATAATGATACCACATATAACAGTGTAGTGATGAACACAAAAATCAATAAACAATCAGTGAATCAGTTTCAGGAAGGTATTCAAAAAATTACGGCTACCGAATGTTCTAAATACGTATCCCATTTTGTCAAAGAAGAGGAAAAAATGAGTAAGCTAGATATGTTAACTGACAATAAATATCACAGACACAATTCATAATAAATGTCACAGAAAGTAACAGCGATATCTACAGAGAGACGGCTACAATTTATAAAATGTCTGTTTTATTTGTCATGTTCCTTCATGATCACATTTTTTATTAATTTCGCACACAATTACAAAAGAAAAGTCTCAGATCGTTAATTAATTGTCAAAACTAAATTATCAGTTCAGAAATATTATATTTCCTGATAAACTTAGTTTACGAGAATAAATTTAT